AACATATGGCGAGTCGGCACCGGAGCCGTCAGAACGAGGCCACAGCCAAGACATATGTGTGCGAAGTGTGCAAACGATCGTTTGCCAGAAGCGATATGTTGACCCGTCATATGCGACTCCACACCGGTATTAAGCCCTACACGTGTCGAGTGTGCGGTCAGGTCTTCTCCCGGAGCGACCACTTGAGTACCCATCAGAGGACACATACGGGCGAAAAGCCGTACAAATGCCCGCAGTGTCCGTACGCCGCCTGTCGTCGCGATATGATTACCCGACACATGAGGACTCACGCCAGGTATGAGTTGCCGGACAGCAGTTCCAGCTATGAAGACATCACAGACTCTACACACCATTCATCGACACAACGCTCAGTAGTGACCAAAGAGGAGGCGCTCAACAAAAAGATATGGCGTCCGATTTGATTATCAATTCCAACTCTTAATTGAGTTTAAAATAATACAAATATTATATATATTTATAATTAATTAATTAAGAAATATATTTATTTTTATTTATCAGTAATTTATTTGCAAAATATAAATGAGACATAAAAAGCAAACAAAATATTAATGCGATTAGGAATAAAACAAAAATGCGAGAATAATGCCTAAATAACATAGAGTAGTTTATTTTCGGTAAAATAAATATAATAATAATTATATAATTATTTTTGTGCGAAATTCTTGACTGTTAGGGAGAGATGCGAAAAATATATACACATAAGTGATGCCCAAAAACATTATTTCTAAATTTTAAGACATTAAAAACAGTGCCATTAAGTATGAAAATAATGATAAAAATATATTTATATTTATTTAGAGAAACAAATGAATTAATTATTATACGAAAGGATATATTTTGCGCGAAAAGAGTTAGAAATTTGTAAACGAAAGTCAATGTTGTATTAAATTGATGTGTGTTTTATTGAGTTTTATTTAGTGATCATAATGATTATTTTTTTGTATTTTGTTCCAGGTGAATTCAGTGCCACAGCTTTGTGTATATAATGATTATTATAATTATAAATATTTATAATGTATTTATTGATACGATTATGAATTATATTTGTTAAACAGAGAGTGATTTTCATATGAATTGGTGGCTGTTATTCATATTTAACGTTATTATACAAAATATATATAGTTTTGTTTGCAAACACCTATTGTTCGCTCATTTATATTACAATACAATACTCTGAATACTGATAAACAAAATATTGTTATAATAATAATTATTATATTATTATAACATTTATAATATTCTTGTGGTTTTGGCAATGATTGCGAACCACATTTCCCTTTCACTGTTATATTTATTGTATATATTTATATATATTATATAAAATATATGTATATTTTAAATACCTTCCGATCTATAATTATATTATTATATATTTATATATATATTATTGGTATATAAATGTTTGAGAAAATTTTCTGACTTATAGTTAAAGAATTTTTTCTCCTCTATTAAGATATAAATATATTATATATTTGTTGTATATTTGATGAAAATATTGATAAATATTTGCTCAAAAAATAACACACACTTATATTTATTTAATTATATGTAATAATTAAATGATCTCTGAATTTATGTTTTAATTTTGTAAATAATGTAACTTTTACTCAAAGACCAAAAAACCTTTCAAAACAAATAACAATTATAGTTATTATTCGTACAAAAAAGCCTCAAAACAAAGTTTATTTTGCAATATTTATTTCCACCTTATTTATCATGTTTGGTCACACTATCCGTATGAATAGCATGGGATCAGGTGTTGGTTTGTTTGTGTGAATGCATTGCCAGACACATAGACAGCTCACAGAGCGTCACATTGAGTCCAAACATCAAATAATTTCATTGGATTTTTGCAGATATACTCTTCTTATACTCTTCTATACTCTTCTCAACGAAGAATATAATAAGTATTTTTTTAATTACTTTTCATGAAATGATGCTTTTGTTGAACTTTGGGGGCATTTGTTATACCAGCGAACGCACAGGTATTGAATTATGAAATTCTGGGCTCAGATTTTTGTGTTGAGAGAGAGAGAGAGAGAGAGAGAGAGAGAGAGAGATTAAAATTGATATTTTGCGGTTGTGTTGTGTTGTGTTGTGTGTGGTATTTAACCGATGCATAGGTGGTGGTTTCAGGTGCACCAGAATTGCTGGATGTGATCAGTGAAGCCAATCAAAAGCTAATCGAAACGAAATGCTTGTGGAAAGGCCTTAGACTTGGAAAGAGAATGTGAGAGAGAATGGGAGAGAGAATGCGGGAGAGGTGGAGAAGAGCCCACTCATGACTCTCATGACTCTAACTCCCGGGTCCTCTCATTCCTTGCATATATTGTATGATTACATACATTGTATTATTGGTAACAAATTCACTGCTTCTGTAATTTTTTGTTATTCCTTTGAAGAGAAAACATATGAAAAAGTCGTGAAAATATTCCTCTGAGTCCAGAAATAATGCATTTGGGATACCATTGAAATTGTCTTTTCCTCCTTCTCATAGCTATAAGAGAAGTGCATTAAGAGAGAGAACACTAAGAGAGTGTAGGAATGCCTTTATCTCTCCCCCACTGGTAAATATCTGCGCTCAGCCTCTGACCCGCTTCTGGAGCACACGTAAGGTTGAGAAGTTATCAGAGGGTGTGGGCCCTCAACATCCAAAACAGGAGGTACTGATCACGATTCGGTAGCTGACATCGGCTTGTAATTGCAAATCGTATAATTTAACAGTGGCTCCGGGCTATGCACCATATCATGGCATCAGAGCATCATATCACCATCATGGTGGTACTAGCCATCCACTACCCCCAACCCACTCTCTCTCTCTCTGTCTCTCTCTCTCTCTCTCTCTCTCTCTCTCTCCTACATCTATATAGAAGAGCCCATCATTTAATGCAAAAACGAAAAATTCAAATCAATAAAGATTCTGGTCTTCCCTTTAATTAAATTTAGTTCAATAATAATATTAATAATGAAAATATGTTTACGCTATAAATATGTTAACAAATTCTTGTATCGTTTGTCCGACAAATATTTTGGGCACCGATTCCTAGTATAGAAATGATTAGAAATGTGAAATGTGTTGCATCGAGAATACAATAGATAATAAATATACAGTCAATGATAGAGACGGTGTTGTGATAGAAAAAGTATAGCTTAGAGACGGCGGTGGAGGAGAAGCACCTGTAGTCAAAATTGTAATATCCACCCAATGGTCCGCCCGTCTAATGATTACATTCAGATTATAGTCTATAAAACAAAATGAAACAAAACTTTTTGCATGTTTTCTCATTGTTGTCCATAAACTCAATTTTCTTTCCAATTGAAAGAAATATGCATTCAATTTATTGCTACAAATCATTGGAAAATGCAATTTTGCATTGAATTTGGCGCCAATTTGTGGATTAAAATGTAAGTTATGTTTTGAGAGCCCGGGAAGAGCTCAGCAATTAATAAATTTTAAAATCCGGGGTCTGTTTTAGGGGCTCTCTATTGTGAACAATACTAGAAATGATCGATTTTTTACGAAGTATTTAGTTTAGACACTAGTTATTAAAGAAATTTTACGCGTTATTGGTATACGTTTTTTGTTACAAAATCGTGAATAAGTCGTGACTTATATTAGGTATCGTTAATCGTTAATATCGTGACAAATAGTGTATCTCTCATGAAGAAAGAGGGGGAGAGCGTGAGAGAGAGAGAGAGAGAGAGAGAGAGAGAGAGAGAGCGCGCGAGAGATGTATGTGATGTGAAGGTATGAGAGAATGAGAATTTTTAACCAGTTATACCCGATTAATAAAATATATATATAACTCACGGCATATACACACAAACACTACGAACGCCACTCTTTCCTCTCTATCTCTCACACATAAGTCAGGCCTACAGTCAAGCCGTGAATTCGCCATAATTTTCAAACCTCTGACTCTGTATATGTCTTAAAGACAAGTTTTAGACGTCTCGCTGTTTAGAGAGTATTCATTCATTTCTAAATAAATTATTTAATAGAAAGTAGTTTTTTCTGTCGGCATTTCGTCTAAAAGTGATGCATCACTCGTGTATTGCAATTGCATTTCGGGTATTTTGAATGGAGAGCACATACTCTCGCACACAACTAGTGCCCAAACTCAGGGCAATGCTAACAGTCCTCAGAAGTTAGCTCACAAAACATGGTTATATTGGCATTAATCACTTGCATTTGACAAAGACTGCATGCAATTGCAAATGAGGTCTTGGGATGAGTACCACTGCTGGAGAGGAGTGACTCTCAATACAGTGGGCCTAAGAGTTAGTGGACACTCGCCTTCACTCGCCTTTTATTAGCCTTTCAATAGCATCGCTGGAGATCACTGGCCATAGAGCACAGGAAGAGACCTTTTAACTCATTGTCAGTCCATTATTGAGCCTAAATATAGCCTCTGTCCGCACAGATGCCCACCTGTCCCGCCCGACCACTACTCGCGTCCACATTATGCAACGTTAGACAAGAATATATGATTGAATACAATGTGTATTGAATGGAGTGGCGAATGGGACGCAACTCCTGGGCTAAAGGTATATCACACTGTCCTCAATGGACACTAATGTCATCCATTGAATGGACACAAAGATATTGCGAGCATTGATGTTATGACACAAACATTAACTCAAACAATACCTGAAGAGAAAGTTTTACAAAAGAAGTATATATTGAAGAAAAAGTTTTATAGTTTTTTGTGCAAAGAATTGTATTATTATTTATATTGCTTTTATTGTCAAATCTTTTCATAATATAATATATATTATATTAGAAATATATTATCCAAAAAATGAATGTTTAAAATATTATTATAAAACGACAAATGAATTTTAAATATATTTTTACTTTGAAATAAAACTTAAAATAATATTTATTATTATTATTATTATTTCTGCAAAAAAAGAAATCACTTCAAAATAAATATTAGTAAATAATAATAAAAATTGATTTTATGATATAAAATATCAGTAATAATTATGCGATAATAATATACTATTGACGACAAAATAAAAAGTGGGTTCAAAACTGAAAGACAAACTTATCATAATTATTAATCCACAAAAATATCTACAGGTTTTTTATTAGTGAAAAAATTGTTTGTTCATAAAAAGTGGTTCATTTGTTTAGATCTGTCTCTTTGTATCAGAATTTGGTGTCTTCTTCGTTGAAGCCATCGTTTGAGACGCCATTCTTGCCATTCCTCTGAGTCGTCGGTGTATTGAGTTCTTTATCGGCGCTTCCGTTCAAATAAGGCGTCTTCTCTTCATTAGCGTTGAAAGCGGTGTTGTTTTCATCGCTGTCTTTGAAGGGCTCGTATGGCTGATAGAAGTACGCCATTATCGCAAACACTATCATATCGGCGATCATTAAACCGGCGAAGAAGAAAAACTCATACGACTAGAAGAGAGGGGGAGAGAGAAGGAGAAGAAGTTTAGAGACAAATGACACCAACATTCAGAAGTTATGACATTTTTATATGACTTCTCATTTAAGTTAAATTATTTCTCTTTTTTGCGTTTGTGTTATGTTTTCAGTAAAAAATAAAAGTTAAGAATCAAATGAAGAGAAGAGAGTGAGAAAGTAAACGAGAGAGGGAGAGAGAGAGAGAGAGAGAATAATTTTAAATCAGTTTAAGGCTTAAAATAAAATAAAAAGTCGATAATTAAGGCTCAGATATTAGCCTTCAGAGCATTTCTCGCTTTTTTCTCTCTCTTTATAGAAATCAAAGGCATTTTCTTGAGATGTAATCTGAAATGATTTCGAAGTTAGTATTAGAGGAGTAGTAGTAGTAATAGTGAGTTAGTCAGAGAGCCATTAAAACAATTTTATGATAGCATGAGAAAGTCCTGCGGGCAGAGACTGGCAGAGGTGGATGAGATGGGGGCAGACCGGCCACTGCTCTCACACACAGAGCACAGGCCAATGCGATGAGCCTTTTATCTTAAAAGTCAGTCAAAGCCCAGCAAAAACATGTTGGGATCTCTCGGGTCCCGACACCAAGTAGTCTAATGTTTGAGTTGATTATGCATACAGTAGTAGTGGGCTCGGCGTCAAAACGCAGGACTACCTTATTTTCCAGGCTTTTCATTACCATCCCATCCATTGATAGAATACAAAGTGTATTATAAATAATAAAAATAATTAATGCCTTTTGCTTCGCCTCTTATTATTCAAAATTAAGATTAAAGTCTAAGACATTGAGAAGAAAAACAAAAAACCATTTTTGATTATATGTAATCATATTCTCTCTCTCTCTCTCTCTCTCTCCCTCTCTCTCTCTCTCTCTCTCTCTCTCTCTCGCCTTCTCCTCCTTCTCTTTCTTTCTTATTCTCTGCAGAATTTATTTGACAAAACTATCGGTTATTGTATATGTATTTCAATTGCAAAATCACAGTAATTCTTGAATTTAATTTGGAAGTTAATTGTGGAGTACTTTTGAAGTGAAATTTGGAAATGAGTGTAAAATTCTCGGCAAAACTAAACGGTTTGCCAATCAATTGTTAAAAGTGTTTCTGCAATCGATGGGTATATACTTATGAGAGTTATTCAGTGGTGTTGTGATGCGGCACTGATTTCTCTCTCTTGTTGGACGAGTCATAGAAAGACAATGATTTCTTGGGCTCTTCGGCTCATATCAAAAGCCAATGGCAAAGACCATCGAAACATATCAAACATATTTGGAGAAAAAGCAAATGCGAGAGAAGCTATAAGTAGCGCCGAAATACACAAATCATGTTTTTAGGAGAGAGAGAGAGAGAGAGAGAGAGAGAGAGAGAGAGAGATGCCATAAGAGTTATTATTGAAGCCCTCCTCCACCTGTCAGAGTCAGTGCAGACTTTTTATGTTTGAGTTTTCGCTATTTTGTTGTTTAGCTGAGGGCTGTGTTTGAGAGAAATGTAATTAACCTCCGCTATAGCCGTGAGGGTGTAATCACATTCATTTTGCTTCTTCAGAGGATTTTTGGCTTTAAAAACTTGTTTAGTTGAACAGACATTACGAACGCAACCGCCAGCGCACAGGTATTGTGGGCGGGTATACAACCAATGGCCAGAGGACAACACCAGCACTCCTTTAAGTGAATTCTGTGCTCTCTCTCTCTCTCTCTCTCTCTCTCTCTCTCTCTCTTTGAGAACAAAAAGAGACCTAAATTATCATTAGTAGCTCTTATGTTAACTCGGCGTTCAGTCTATTTGCGAAATGCCTGAACATACAGATGCCTTTCCACTCACTTCACTACACACTCTACTACCTGTGCTCTCGCCTCTGCCCCTCATTGCCAGACTCGGCCGCATCTCTTAACTAACCCAACGCTATGCTGTCTATACTATGCACAGCAATGGTATGCACACCTACACACACCGGGGGTACAAATATATGCATATATATGCGCCGCTCAACTGATCTCAAATAATTGGTACCGATTTTTACAAATGCAAATCAATAGTGAAGTGTCTCTCAATATATATTAACTCACTTCACTACACACTCTACTACCTGTGCTCTCGCCTCTGCCCCTCATTGCCAGACTCGGCCGCATCTCTTAACTAACCCAACGCTATGCTGTCTATACTATGCACAGCAATGGTATGCACACCAATACTATGCACACCTACACACACCGGGGGTACAAATATATGCATATATATGCGCCGCTCAACTGATCTCAAATAATTGGTACCGATTTTTACAAATGCAAATCAATAGTGAAGTGTCTCTCAATATATATTTCTTTGACGGCACCAAACATTTAACTGTAAAGCATAGCATAGAAAATGTTTTATTTATTGTCTCCACTTTTCTTCTTGTGTTTTTGGCTGAAGAGAAAGAGGGGAACGGAATTCCTCGTAAGGAATGGACGGCACAAAAAGCACAGGTATTGACTCTTGCGATGGATCACTTGGTTTTGCCAAATATAATATTTATGCAAAAACAATGCATACATTTTAAGCGAAACGAGAGGAGGAAAACATATTAAATATTTAGTTGTTTTTCCCAAAAGTTATTTTTATCAATGGATAGCTTTTTCACAAACGCTCTTAAAAACAATGACTATCGAAGTTATCCATAAATTTGAATAATAATAACTTTTTTACGTTTAGAGATATGTTTTAAGTGCTCACTAACCTCTCTCTCTCTCTCTCTCTCTCTCTCTCTCGCCTTCTCCTCCTTCTCTTTCTTTCTTATTTTCTGCAGAATTTATTTGACAAAACTATCGGTTATTGTATATGTATTTCAATTGCAAAATCACAGTAATTCTTGAATACATAGGAAGTTAATTGTGGAGTACTTTTGAAGTGAAATTTGGAAATGAGTGTAAAATTCTTGGCAAAACTAAACGGTTTGCCAATCAATGGTTAAAAGTGTTTCTGCAATCGATGGGTATATACTTATGAGAGTTATTCAGTGGTGTTGTGATGCGGCACTGATTTCTCTCTCTTGTTGGACGAGTCATAGAAAGACAATGATTTCTTGGGCTCTTCAAAAGTCTAAGACATTGAGAAGAAAAACAAAAAACCATTTTTGATTATATGTAATCATATTCTCTCTCTCTCTCTCTCTCTGACCCGAAGTTTATTCAAACATTTCTATGCGATAACAATCAGTTGACACTATCGTTAAGTGAGTGGTGAGTGAACTCCTAATTAATAGCATTTATTCACCGCTTAAACAACGCTAAGAATCACTAATAATTCAGTATTTATAAGTCCTTCACAAATATTAGTCCTATATATCTACGACTCTCTCCCACGAAACACAGGTTTTAATTTTTTGATTTCTTTTCACTAATAAATTGTTGGCAGAGAAGGAATTTTTGAAAGAAATATTATTGTTATTATTATTGCGATTAAGAAATGATAAGAGACTTTCGGAGTCCAGAGAAGATAGGCCTACAAACTAAAGAGTCGATGTCAGAAGTCTCTCTCTCTCTCTCTCTCTCTCATATCTCCTATAAATGTCAGACTATTTTCTGCGAAACCAAATTAAATAATATCTACTAATAGGAAAGTATACCCCCCGTCGGCGGGCAGTTAGTCTTTAAGCTATTAAATCAAGTTCTTTGTGCACGAAATTCTGGTATTTTCTCATACATTTGTTGCAACTAAACGTATTTACGATACCTTTTTTTGTTTGTTTGTTAATTATATTTGAATTTAAAATAAAAAAGAAAATATTTAATTGAATTAAAATTGATATTTTGCGGTTGTGTTGTGTTGTGTTGTGTGTGGTATTTAACCGATGCATAAGTGGTGGTGAACTGACCTGTTTCTCAAATATCTTGGCCGACGATATGATGACAATAATCAAATTGCCAAACGCCACGGTCAACAGCCACGCAGCCTGTAATACTGACTTCATACTGGCCGGTGCCTAAACCATATCAAACATCGTGTTAGACATTGATATTAATTTTTTCAATAATTTACAAATTTTTTAATTTCAATAGAAAATTTTAAAAGTTTTATAGAGTATTGAAATTTCTTTCCTATAAATTAATATAACTTTTAGAACTAAATCCATAAAATATGTTAATTGAGTGTCAATTAATTTAAATATTAAATAAAATTAATGCAATTTAAATCAAATTAAATCTAATTATAATTGACTAATTGTGTAAATGTGTAAAGTTGTTAAATTAACTTAATGAATGCATTAGGGTAACTAATAGCTATATCTATGCCCTCTATCGGATACATTTGGTAACAAAACTGTAAGAATCGTGTTAACTGTAAGTATGAACTGTACTGATTGACCATGCTTAGTTTCTTACAAAAATATACAATTAAATCGTAAAACAGTTTACCTGAGAGTAAGAAAATTCCAGACCAGTGATGGAGAACATGATCTCTCCGGCGGTAATCACCGAGTATTGAGTGATTTGCCAAAACATGGACACAGAATTAGGCAAAACTATATTATGCACATCTCCTTTCAATTTACCCTATTTTACAGTTAAATAAATTAAAATATTGAATAAATGGCACAAAATTCATACAAACCCTAATCAATAACATACCTGATCATCAGTATAGACGAGGGCAATATAGGCCCCGCCCTGGTATAGACCCAACTCCTCGATGGCCACGTGAGCGGCACTTTCCGTGTCGTTTTCGAGTAAAAATAATTTATATTCTCCGCCCAAATGAACGTCCAATTCCTTAATGAAGGGAACGTAACCGACGTAACGCTTGGTGTCGCCCGAAACGATAGGATCGCCGACAGTCGTCGAGTTAAAGTTATCGGTAAACTCGCTGTTATTGAACCGAAACGTTATGTGATTGTTATTCACGATATTAAACACGGGTTTTGTTACGGAATCCTTGATATTATAGACCACTCCGGCGAAAGAGCCGCCGTCCTTAGGCTTCTCCAAGATATCGATTTTTTGATTGAATTCAAATATAGACAACTCTTTGGCGTTTGCACTGCAAATGCTTTCCGTAATCAACAAAATGCCTCCTTTCGCAAAGGTTTTGCTAATCGTAACCGAATAGTCCTTTTTGGCCGAACACTCGGCTATCTTTGAATTGTCTGTAAGCGACACATCCAGTGACAGGCCTTTGGAAATGAATTCATCGATATTGAGATTGGCTTTCGTGAGGACACCGTATTTTTCTATGGTTTCAGATTTATCGCCAAAAATAAAGCTATTCTTGAGGAGAATAGGAGTCGACAATCCGTTGACAATTGTCAGGTGAATAGAGTTGTCGTTTAGCGTCGGCGGCAAATCCGTCTCAATGGACAGCTGAAAGAAGCCGCAGATAGCGAAGGCCACGGCAGCCAATATACCGCCGCAAACAATACGTTGAAGTGATTTCTTGAGGAAATTGATTTTGGCAAACGCTGGGTATATAATGTACTCAAACACCGGTATGAACAAAATGATCAGGATGGGATTCACCACTTGTATCTGATCCGGCTTTAATCGGTAAACGTCTCCCATTTTACCGTCCATTTTGGTTGCCTGTAGTGTCCATCGCGAGCCCTAAAACAAATACATTGATTACTTTAGATAGCATTTCATTGTAAATCCTATGGACACAAACCTGTTGGTCGAAAAGTGCCCAAAAGATGGGAAGCGGTAAATACAAGAATAATACTCTCATCACAGCTTTTATATCGGCAATCGTTTTCGACTAAAATGTGGGGAAATTGTAATTTTTAATTAATTATTGCCAAAATGTGTGTCATATAAATTCATACATCAAACTTGTCGTCCGCGTAATCCAACCAATGATCTCTTTTAGGCATTCTTTTGAACCATTTTCTTGAAAGTGATGTCTATTTTAAAGGAGAAATTATTAGTTGAAAATTGTCGACAAATTCAGGCATGTATTTGAATGAAGACATACAAAGACACATGAGATGACTTGAACGACGACACTCTCCTTCTTGGGCGGAACCATTACATAATTGGTGACATATCGGCCGACGACAAACAGTATGAGCGCCACAATCATCAGAACCGCCGGAACGCCGAATGCCAGCGGAAAACAGCTCTTCTTATTGAAACACTGGACGTCTTCTCTAAGTATTGGTGTTATAAATGTCGACAAAAGACTTCCAGCGTTTATGGAGATGTAGAAGAAGGAGAAGAACTTCTGCAACTGTCTCTCCATTCCCGGCCCAAACTGGTCGCCGCCAAACGCAGACACACTATATGTGATGCGAATATATCATGTATTAATTGTATAATGTCGTGGTTTTTGCGGTCATACCATGGCTTTATACCGCCGGTGCCCAACGCAATGGCCACTAAACCAATCCACATGACCCAACTAGTTATTTTTAAAAAGTTATTTTTAGTTTTGTTTGTGCCTCTATTTTTGCCTTGATTCAATTTTCAAATAATAGCATACCTAAGCTCAGCGACCGCCGAATAGGATAGAATTATATTCCCGATTGCATAGAGTATTGATATGTAAAATATGGTCCTATAGTTGTAATTGTAATCAACAACAAAATGCAATTAATGTTTAATTATGTATTTATGATCAAAAAATGTTAAGGCTATTAATTTAATGAGGATTTTAATGAGGATTTAACCTAAATTTTCCAAGAAATGAATCGGCAATAATGGCACCGATAACTGGTGTGAAATAACAGGCCATCGCAAAGATATGGTAGTATTCGGTCGCCTCGTCGTCGGAATATTTGATAATTTGCGTGAAAAATATGACCAAAATTGCTGTCAAACGTAATCAATGGTAAATGATATGTGCTTTTATTGTCTAATTTAGTGTTAATTATCTGTTTTATTGTTTTAATATTCATTAATTCAATGAATTTTTTTTATTGTACTTGTATTTTGTTGGCTAAAATGTCTGAAACACTTTTTTTTATGTTGTATATAGTGATAGTAATGTAACATTATTAATGTTAAAATGATTGTTAATATTTTTTGATTATTTATATGTTTTTGTGATGAATTTTAATTTCATTTTGCTCTCAATTTCTACAATGAAATACAAAAATTGTGTGTTTAAAAAGTAAATGCTATTTAATAAGTATTTAGCACTTTGTCACCAATATTGGCAGAAATTTGTGTTTTTTGGTCATAAAATGCAATAATTGTGATAAAATTAAAACTCATTTGTCATTATCTCTATTAATGTCTCGCATATATACCCGTAATATTGGCTTTTATTATCAATTTTGTTCATATCGTATAAATTTATTTATATTCATATAATTTGTGTCAAATTTTTAATAAATAAAATATAAAATCAGTGCAAAATTAAAGTATATATACATTTCAAATATTGAAACAAGATTTGCGTTAATTATTGTATTCCTAACATTGATTTCTCGATATAAACATTGAGTCCATAGAAAACAAATAAAATATAAAAAGTATTTACTGTTATCTCTGATAAAACAAAACAAAAAATGCTATGTTTTTATGGGAAAAAAGTTTTTAAAATTTTAATGAAATGAACAAAAATCGAGAGAAATAATTGAATAATAAGTTAATGAACTTTTTCAAGACTCCAGAACTCGAATAAATAAATTATGGTTTTAAATGATTGGAGAATGAAATGGTTTTTTAAACTTCAAAAACACTATTAAAAAATCATTCATCAAATAAATTAAGTGTTTTTGCGAAATATATTTCCATTTTTATAACTCATTGGTTTCACAATAAAAAAAATCGGATAATATTTTCAAATATATTTTTATTAGACAATAGATTAAAGTTAAGGTCAAATACACTAAACAAACTGTTATAAAACAAGTGCTAATAACTCGGAGCCCCTGATAGTCAACTGGTGGCCGACCAGTAGGTTATGGCTTATTTATTATACGCTCTTTTTATTTGGTTTGTAATAAAAGTTAATAATCTATTAAAGGATTGATATCATTATACGGGGACTTATTTTACATTTTATGGCCTCAATTGAAGAGAGAGAGAGAGAGAGAGAGAGAGAGAGAGCACTAGAGGTGGTTTATAGCCCCCAGAAAAACATAGCCTTGAAAATTGAAATTTTAACACAAAATAAAGTTCTTTAGTTTTATGTACTTTTGTATGTATTTCTGTATAAAGAAAAATATCTTCAATAATAATAATAATTATTATTATATTCACTACAAATACCAGTTTTCTGTATACAGTATATGAAGTAAATCGAAACAAATATGATTAATGATTAGAATTTGACCAAAAATTTAATTAAAATATTTTGTATACATTTTTGTGGTTAAGTCTTATTACAGTCGCTATACTGTAGACATCATTAGAAGTGATACAAACATTAATGTAATGAATCGGTTCATAAGATTTTGAGACATTTATACGATATTAAGTGTAAATTTCGATATAATTTGCTATTTATTATTGTTATTAGTTTTAAATTTTTCGATATTAAACTTTTAAACGTTATTATCGAAGATATTTTGTTATTTTTCATATTTAAGTGGCTTTTCGTTTGAAGCAAAATGTAAAGATTTACCAAAAATTACATGAAAATTGTTTTTTTCTGGCTATAAATAGCGAAATCTTATGCTCTAATAATTGATTAGATAAATGTATATTTTTAATTCAATTCAAATCTATTAGTTTGTGTTTTTATTATTATTGATCCACTTTCTGGCACTAAATGTTATGATGATATGATGGCATTTTTATATAATTATTATTATTAAGTTAACTAAAAACATTTGTCATCTCGATAAACATGTTATAAATTACAGAGTGATGCAAATCATTCAATTCTAATTAAACTAAATATTTAATTAAATTAATGATAAAATAATGTGAATTGAATGTGAAGTAATGCCGAGAATATTATTTTGAGTAAAGAGTTTATCTAAGTTTAGATAATATTTTGGTTTAGTTTCAAACCATTTATAAGATGAGCAAAAAAAGTTTCTGTCATTCATAATATGTATTCTTGTAATGAAGTTTCAAAACGAAAAATATTTTTATTATAAATAAGGTTTTGTATAATTGAAATAAAAATTTTATAATCAAAAGCTTGTTGTGAATACTGTACTAACTTTTTATGTTTTTATAGCGTAATTAAATTGCTTTTTTACACATAAATTAGTTTGTTTTCATATTATTTTAAATTCAAAACAAATTTATATTAATTGTGAAAATAATATTTACATCAAATAAATTACATTTAACCATACATTTACAGTCAGTGTGTTTGCATTCATAATCATATAATTGCATGAATTTATTGTTTTAATTATTAGATTATTTCGTGATTTTCATTAGAAAAACAATTTCTGAAATCTATTTATAGAAAACTTAGAAAATAAAAATTTTCAAATATAATAACTTTTTTCAATTAAAGCTTAGGAAAGGATGCAATCGTATGATAATTATCAATAATATTTAAGATTTTAATAAATATTAATAAGTATTATAGAGAAAACTAATACCAGGCTGATTATATCACGTTTACAAAGTGTATTAATATTCATTTTTATGTTATTTTATAATATCGTGTTCACAATAATTGCTCTTAACATAAAAATCTAGTTCAAAATTCACGCCAATTTATAAAATAAAGATTATTTTTATCACTAAATATGGATAAACTATTGTCAATACTATTGACTCAATAGTAAAGGATTATTAAAATTTAAAGTGCTTTAAGTATTCAAAGTGTTGTAAAATCTTTTACGATTTGTGTTAAATTGTTAGCCAATAGTGTTAAACAGTAAGTACTTTACATTTTAGTGCAGATACACTGTATTATTGCTGCCATAAGACTTTCGTGACAAAAATCATTGATAAAATATGTTATAAAAATAATAATACCGATCATAAGTACTACTATTCATTGCATTGATTTCTAGTTAATAATAAGTTTCAAAATCTGTTTATTCAAAAAATATTTTATTAAATGTGTATTTGTAAATATTTTTAACTATTGTATAATAAAACTCATCTAATAATTAGACATTAAATATGTTTTCGTATAATATTATTTCTTTAACCGTAATAAAATATATCATATTATGATAGTATATCGTCTGTATTATAAAACAAGATTCGCACTTGGTTTAAACTTAGGATCTGACTATTATATATTTTAACAATAATCCTATTCTATATTTCTCTTAATGCACTTCTCCTATGGCTATGAGAAGGAGGAAAAGGCAGTTTCAATGGTATCCCAAATGCATTATTTCAGAGAAATAGAGGAATATTTTCACGACTTTTTTTTATATGTTTTCTCTTCTCAAAAGAATAACAAAAAATCACAGAAACAGTGAATTTGTTACCAATAATACAATTTATGTAATCATACAATATATGCAAGGAATGAGAGGACCCGGGAGTTAGAATCATGAGGGGTTCTCTCTCTCTCTCTCTCTCTCTCTCTCTCTCTCTCTCTCATTCTTTATATATAAAAATCGTAAAACTATTCGTTAGAAAGTAAACATTCAGACAATAATTTTCATAAACATTATAAACAAATATCACATCTTATCGGCATATTATGTGTGTTTTGTGTATTAGAAAATAAAATATATAAAAATATTTATTTAATTAATTAAACAAACCTTTCGCCCCATAATATGAGAATCGTTCGCAGAATTCATTGCCGATAATGAATGCGACTGAACGCGGATACCTCTGCTTCGGTACTTCCAACTGATCCTCATTGTTGTTGTCCATCGATTGCTTCTTCTCGTCCTAAACACAATTCATTAACAAATCATTTAGTTATCAAAAAATTTAGTTTTAAAATATTGTCTCAGAAAATGTCTTGTACCATGACTTGTGATGGGAACTGACTGTTCACTCCACAAGTGAATGAATGGATATATAATTATTGAAATATTATTTTTATATATAATATATATAATAAATGTTTTTTAATTGTCTCCGAAAAAATATTTTTGACACAAATCTTATCAAAATAATATTAAAATGTTCGTCATATGGAGTTATAAATATTATTATACTTTTAATAACTTCACTATTTTAATTAATGTACACATTATCTGATAAAAAGCACACAACAATGTATATTAATATTATTATTATATGCAATCACTTATTTTTCAAGCAGTTATTAATTAATTATAACAATAATTTAAAGACGAAAATAAAGTCCAGTTATGAATAAACATAAAATGATATCAATTAATGATAATCTAATCGTTGGCAACACTTCTCAGAAGTCAAGAGCAATGGTATATAATATAAGTTCATATATTCTGTAGTTTACAATAAATGAAGATAACGGCCAAAAACTTATGCCCAAAATAGACAAAGTGGACCGTTTGGGAGGAAACCGGCGTTTGCTATACACTATTAGATCACAAACCAAACTGTCTTTCCTATTATAGAGCGGTAAATAATATTTTATGAATGATCTGTAAATATAGTTCAAAAAACAAGTAAAAAACAGGAAAAATAGTGTGAATTACTGGATGTGAGGAATAGCGAGAGTGAGAGTATGTCTGTCTGAGAGGGCATACACTGACTGAATGAATGAGTGAACCCAAAAAAGTCACACTAAAACAGTGAAACACTGGGTGTGGAAATGAGCCAAACTTTTTGCCTCACAAAAAAGTAGTGATGCTTTCGGAGAGCGGAGTAGTCTTTGGAGAAAAAGAGTGAATGAATTGGAGACACAATGTTAGACACACTCTGGAAGAGAGTATGGGTTTGTGTGGATGTCTATGGCATACATGAGTCGCTGTTATTATTATGATTACGAAAACATGTTCTCGATATAAGTATTGAGGCGAATGACTCCTTCCAGTCCTCTCTCTCTCTCTCTCTCTCTCTCTCCTAAAAACGTGAACCAAAGCAGATGTTATGTTATGTATTAAAAATACAAGTTTATTAACGAATATACTATTATTTATAGATAGTTATAATACATGCATAAATCCTCTCTATTTTGATCTCACTATCGGAATCCAAACCATTATATAATATGCTATTCATTGAGACGACTAACGAATATTCTTCATGGAGTCGACTATCAGATCAAAGTCTGCACACATTATATGCATAATATGTATATTTGATTTTAAATAATGATAGGCTCGTTAAATAAAAATAGTTTAATCATGTATTTGAGTTTTAATCGATGATTGTATTTATATTTAGATAAATGAACTGCTATTTTATTCATGTGTTGAACATTACTTGTTGAATGCAAAGAGAAATTAATTTTTTAACAAATAAAAATGTGTTATAATTTATAAATAAAAAATCAAGTGAATCGACAGTTTTATATTTGAAAATACAATTTATATAGAGTTTTTGAATGAATACAATAAAAGTTGTGGCTTTATATTGATTGTTTTTATCATAGTCAACCAACAAGGTCTGGAAAATGGAAAATTTTAACTAATTTCTAGGGCAAGCAATTCAAAGTAGAAACAATTTAATGTACACATAAAATTAATACATTATTTTAGAGATTCCCATAGGCTCATATGGATAAACTAATTTTAAGTAATTTATTTTATAATTGATTATAGGTAATATTATAACTTATATAAATAGCTATAGACTTAAAAGCATAGATTTTACTGTTACTCTATAGGGGAGGGGGCATAAAGTCTATGCCATAGACAGCCAATATGTTCTTATAAACAAGTGTTATAATACAGAATTGTAGTTAAAAATACAAACACTTTATGGTATGTGTATTGTCTGTATTGTTGGAAAATAATGTATTGTTATATTCGCCAAAACATAATAATGTTTTTTATTTCGTATAGACTTTGAGATAAATTTTTAGAAAAATTGAATCATTAGTCGCGGAAATTATTATTAATTGGATGTGATTTTAATATAACAATAAATTGAATGAATTGTACGACACTTACCGGTTATAATGAGTTGAATTTGCGATTTCAATCGACACACAATTATGTGTTTCATATAAAACACAGGTATTAACACAGAAAATAAAAAATTGCTTTACTTTTCAACACCTGTTTTTGGAAACAACATTAAAAGCCTTTTCAATATGTGATGCGAATTATTATTTTTTGGTAGTTTTATATTTTATAAAATATATGACAACTCTTTGCAGACTTTACAGACAATTGAGTGCTATTTTGCAAAACAATAACTTGTGGTTAAAACTAGTGTCACATCTAATAGCGATATAAATAATGTTGATTACAGAATATATACAGAATATGAACGGTATATAAAACTATAATTATATAAACAGTTATTTTGTTAGTTTCTAAACTGATTGTCTGATCAAATATTATTAGGAAAATATTGACAATTTGAAGTGAAAATTGCCATTTAATCGTATCCAAGGTGTAAAACAATATCCGTTAATGTAATATAATTTAATAAATTTGATTTTTTGTGAAATATTTATGTAATAATATATTATGAGAAACTAAATTGAATTTTAAATTGATCTCCAAATTGTTGTAATGATAAAACTGCTGTTAATATTTGAGATTGAAATTTAATTTGCAATTTAATATTCAAATGAAAAAAGTTTATTCATGAAATACGGTATGTATGCCGTACTTCTATGCGCTATAAAATACATGTAAAATCATTTGAATTTTATATTGTATTGTGAAATCCAGTTCCCGATTACATCCCAAACAAACAATAGGATTTCATCTCAAAACAATTGCATGTCTAGACTCGAGATTTTTCACATGTTGTTTATAAATGTATTAATAAAATTTTTATCATTTATTTGAATAGTTATATAAGATATAGCATTGATATAGCATCAATATAATATTTTATATAAATCAGAAATATTGCAAGAATTGTATTTCGATGTAATTGAACTCAATATGAGTGAAGAGCTCTGATTAACCACAAGTAGTCAAACACAAAGGGATTATAAAAATTATTTTCCTTTTTTGAAGGTTAAGAAGATTCTGTTGGAAATAACTTGTTATATATTATGCCATAATTGTGACCTTTTTTTAAACTTAAATTGATTATTTTAGATTTTTATTGTTTATTTTCTCTCTAAATTATTGTTATAATTAATAATAATAAATTAATAACTCCTTGAAAAATAAAATGCATCTAAAAATGGTTTATCTATGCATTCATAATAATTTAT